CGGGCGGCCGCTCAGCTCTGCCCCCCTGCTCCCCGGAGGACTCAGGGCCCAGCCGCCGCTCTGGCGCGGGCGCGGCTGGGGATTTATTCCACCTGCCCAGCCTTGACCTCCCGGAGCCAGAGTCCAAGGCCATTTCCCTGTGAGACCCCGCCCCTCTCACTGTAGTCCCAAAATAGACTGCGAAATCTGGAGTGAGCAAAGGTATCCGATTGAAGGGGAGGGGACAAATGCTCCCCTCCCCAGGACACCAGCACACCAGGAGCAGTCAGCAGGGCAGTCAGGACAGCATGGGGAGGCCGCCACCTGACGGTGAAAGAGGGTTGCCCACGGGGTACCCCCACCTCTCTCTCTGAGTATTCTTAGCTGTGTCGAACTGCTCAAGTCTGAAGGAAAATCGGCTTTTAAAGATCTACGCTGGGTGTGGGGGCACAGGCCTGTCATCAGCACTGGGGAAGCTGAGGCAGGAGGATCACTGTGAGCTCGAGACCAGCCTGGGCTACACAGTGAGCTCAAGGCCAGCCTACACGGCACAGCTGCCATAGCCCGTGTGGCTGAAGGGTCCGTGCACTGAGAAGCAATCGTGGCACATTAAGACAGACAAAAGGATTAAAAAGACAGAATGATAAAGACAAAGCTGGTATAGCAGAGGCCAGGTGGGAAGCCCTTGTCCTGACGACAGAAGGGTGGGCCGGCAGCCTCAGCGTTTGTAGTTTACAGTGTAGATAAGGGAGGGGAGTCAGAGGGGCTCCTGCGACTGAACAGGGAGGGCGGCTCTGGTCTTCTGGCCAAGGCCTTGGTCTGACACGGCCTCTCATCACCTGTTCTCCTCCCATGGGGCCCTGCACACGGCTCCCAGCACACAGCCAGACCATGTCCAAAGAACAAACACAACCACCCCCAAATTCCTTTAAATGTGGCCTAGACTGATGGGTTTTGTTTTGCTTTTGGTACTGGGGATTGAACCCAGGCCCTTGTGCTTTTGAGGTAGGCAGTGGAACCACTGAGCCAAATCCCCGACCCCAGACGGTTTAACTGCCGTGAAGCAGTTATCTTGAAAGAAGTGGGTTTTAATGGGCGCTTCAGGCACCATCACCAGCAGGGGGAGGATGTGATGTGAGGTCCATCTGGGCCCCAGAATGGCGTGGGGCGCCTGTCCACTGCTCCTGGTCCCCACAGAGGGTCCGCAGCAGATCAGGTCATCCGCATGGCTCAGAGACCCCTGCTCTTGGCTCCATTCAGATCAGCGCTGCTCCGCCCCCCAGGGAGAGCACCGGGGACCCTCCAGGGCCTTTCCATCCTCTCCACCCAGACTGAGTGTCCCCAGGCACCTCACAGAGCCAGCCACTGTGGGAAGCCGGTCCTGGACCCAGCCAGCAGCACCTGCCCAGCACTAGGGACGCCGGGCACCGCGCCAAGCCCAGGAAAGGCTGCTGAAGAGCCACCCGCATGACACAGCCCAGCGCTACCTCGGCGCCTCAGCCCCTTGATTAGGAAGCCCTGGCTCCTGAGACCTGGAGGAATCAGTCTCCCAGGGCCCCCTGAGGCCCTGGGCAGCACAGGGAGGAGGAGAGGCTTTCAAGGAAGGAAGGACAGGTAGGGATCACAGGCATCCTGACAATGATTCTGCAGACACCAAGTACTTCATACAACAGTGTTTATCATAGGGCCCCACCCGCCACAGGGCCCCAAGCCACCTGGGACCGACCGTGCAGGTGGCCCTGATTCAGGACCAAAGATTGCGTCCCTGTCTTGCCTCTGCCGACTGCATGACCTCGGGCGTCCACCCATTGCATCTCTGTGACACAGGGACAACACGGGGAGGATCCAGGGGCTGACTGTGCGGTGCTCAGCACAGAGGCACTTCCCCATGGGTCCACTCTGTGCCATTGCTCAGCGGAGCTTCTGTGGCTGCCTGGTCCCCCAGAGGACAGGAAGATGTCCACAAAGGACAGCAGGTGAGGGGAGATGGTCAGGACAAGATTTGCAGCCCTCCAGCCTCATGGCGGAGAACGGCCCATAGGAAACCGGGACAGTGACTGGTAGCCCCGCTGTGTCGAGTGCCCCTGTACTGTGCAGGTGGCTACCGATGGAAGCCATGTCACACGTGCCACCCCGAGTTCCTCAGCATCTCCAATGGAGGCCCGCAAGTCAGGGTGGGGTTTGGGGGTGGGGTCTGGAGGCACAGGACGACTAGGAGTCCAGAGCTGGCTCGGGCGGGGCCGGCTTCCCACTGGTGGGCCTGGCCGAGTCCCCCTCCTGCTGCTGTCGGACGTGCTGATCCAACAGGGCGGTGAGCTGGACAGGCTGGCGTTGGAGCAGGGTGTGGGTCTGGGCCAGCAGGAGGCCGAGCCCTCCGATCAGCTGGCCCTGCAGCAGGGCCTGGCTGGGCAGCTTGGCGTAGTTCAGGAAGCCCTGCCTGCTCAGGATGGTGTCATCGATGCAGCCACCTGTGGGACACGGGCTCAGCTGGGCTCCCCACTAGCATGAGCGCCCAGCCCTCCGCCCACCCACCTGCCCAGAACCTGGCCCCCCTTGAGGCCCAGCCCCTCTCCACTGCTGGGATCAACTCCTTCTGCTTCCCTCCAAAACCTGCCTAGCACATCACCTGGCCCAGCTCCCCACAGCCACTGCTTCCGAAACTGTCTTTCCTTCTGATCCCAGGGCCTCTGCGCTGAGTTACATCCCCACCACCACTGTTTTTTTTTTGGAGTAAGTGCTCATTAAGTCACCTAGGCTGGGCTCAAACTTGTGACTTTCTTGCTTCAACCTCCCAGAGTGCTGGGATTATAGGCACGCGCCACCACACCCGGCTTGCTAAACTTTTTTTTGTTTTCTTTTAGTACCAGGGATCAAACTCAGGACCTTGAGATTGCAAGGCAGGTGCGATGCCACTGAACTAAATCCCCGGCCCTAAACTTTCTGGAAAAGAGACTCCTGGAGTAGAGGAAAGGAACAGGAAGCTATTTTTTTGGTGGGTAAGGAGTTTCAGTTTTACAAGACGGAAAGATTTATGGACACGGATGGGGGAGTTACACATCATGAGTACATCTAATATTGCCCAGGGTGGGCGCATGCGTCTGTCATCCCAGCACTTGGGAGGCCGAGGCAGGGGAACTGCCGTGAATCAAGGCCAGCCTGGACTACCTCAGGAGATCCTGTCTCAAAAAAACAAACAAATGAAAGAATGTGCTGTCCCACGAGAGGATGTGCCCCAGACACCAGGCCCAGTGGCACTGCCCTCTCACCCTGGCCCTCAGTGGCAGGGTGCTTGCTCACCCAGCAGTGGCAGGAAGGGCACTGTCTTCAGGATCCGCAGCATCTCCTTGACCTTAGGCTCCTCGCTGACCAACAGCATGTTGTGTCCCACAAACAGGGGCAGCAGGCTTTTGTATCTGGACTCCTCCAGAAAGGGCTTCAGGACCTGGTGGGGCAGGAAAGAGTGGCCGATGGAGAACAGCAGGGGGACGGGCCACTCACCGTGGTCACAGGTAGCTGTGGTGGCACCAGGGTACCTCAGCCCCTCGCCACAGCCTGGGCACCGGAGGAGAGTGGCCAGACCGGGCCAACAGAAAACCGTACAGGGGAGCAGAGCTGAGTCCAGCTGGTGATGCTGGGGGCAGAGGGGTCCCCTGCTGGAGTGGTCCCTACCTGGTTAGGGAAGACCTTCACCAAGATCCTGTGTCTGCGCAGCTGGTGCCGCAGGATAAGCTTGTCCTCGGCGCTGATGGCCACGTTCTGGCAGACAGCTATCATGCGGTGGTGCCGGAAAACCTCTGCTATCTCCCGCCGGAGGACCCGGATGAGGCCTGATTCCTATGGTGAGGGGCGGCCAAGGGAGGCCAGCTGTCTCTCCTCCTGGTACCGCTCGCTCACCCGTGAGCTGCTGGGGCTTCTGGTGCGGCCGGGCGCACAACGGCTTGGGGGACAGGTAGGACGGTCGGGCCCTGACTCTCAGACCCTGACCCACGCTGCCAAGACTGTGTGACAATATGTGAGAATCACATCTGACACTCTGCTCACACTGGGTTACTTTACCAATGACAAAGACAAGACAGGGCTGGCTGGGGTTTGGCTCAGTGGCACAGCACATGCTCAGCGTGTATGAGGACCTGGGCTCCATCCTCAGCACCAATAAAGAAATAAACAAATAAAAAGAAATGAAAGAACTCTTTAGGTCAGGCATGGTGGTGCACGCCTGGAATCCCAGCACTCGGGAGGCTGAGGCAGGAAGATCGGTGCAAGTTTGAGGCCAGCGTGGGCTACATAGTAAATTTGAGTTCAGCCTGAACTACATAGTGAGACCCTGTCTCAAAAACAAAAAACAGTGTTTTTTTTTTTTACCACTGTTTGGTAGTGTAGGCTTAACAATGAGACATTTTGACAAATGAAACTCCTTTACAGAGGATTGAACCCAGGACCTGAGCTACATCCCGTCCCCTTCCCTTTTTTTCTTTTATTTTTTATTCTGAGACAGGGTGCAGCTCAGGGTAACTTGATGACTTCACCCTGAGAGAAAAAATCATTTCAAGACGCCATCCCACCACCCAGCCCCATGCGCCCTGTGCACCTTACCTCCTTGGGGGGCTTCGGGGGAGGCAGCAGGCATCGCGGGTTCACAGCGGGCCGGGGCGGGATGTACTCAGTCACGGCCATCAGCTTCTGCCGCTGGTGGTGCATGACGCGCCAGTGACGGGTCACCGCCTTGGAGCCGTGGCGCACGGTCTGCAGGGTGGGTAGCCAGCCTAGGAAGGGCGACAGGGCAGTGAGAGGAGGCCTTGGGAGCCTTCAGAAAAAGTCCACGCTCTGGACAGAGACAGCTGTGGCTCACGGGGTGACGCAGCAGGACAGTAGGAAAAGGAGCGGCTCAGCCAAAATTCTGAGTTCCCAACCTTTGTTTGCTTTTTTTTGTTTTGTTTTGCTTTTTTGAGACAGGCTCTCACTATGTAGTTCAGACTGGCTTTGAACTTGTGGCAGTCCTCCTGCCTCAGCCTCCAGAGTGCTGAGATCACAGGCATGCGCCACACCTTGCTACTTAAGGTTAGCTGCTTGGTCCCTTAAGGCCTCTGTTTCTCCATTTGTTTTTTCTTCAGTCCTGGGAACTGAACTCAGGGCTTCACACAAAACTGCATCCCCAGCCCTCTTCTGAGACAGGGTCTCGCTAAACTTCCCAGGCTGAACTCAAACTAGTGATCTTCCTGTCTCAGCCTCCTAGAGTGCTGGATTACAGGAGTGTGCCACCACGCTTAGCTTCCAGACCTTCTTTACATGCGAAGATAGGATTCAAAATAATAACAAAGAAGAAAGAATTTTGAACACATTATGCAAGGCCCAATAGGGTTGAGCAAACCTCTTCTTTTTTTTTTTTTTTTTTTTTGGTACCAGGGATTGAACTCAGGACCTTGTGCTTGCAAGGCAGGTGGCAGCACCACTGAGCTAAATCCCTGGACAGAGCCAACCTCTTCTTAAATGGCCAGATGGTAAATATTACAGGTGCAACATCCTGCGTTCCATCCCCAGTACTGCAATTCAAAACAAAAGAAAGCAAAACAAACAACGAAACCACACAGTGAGCAGTCCTGCTGGTTCAATCACTGGTTTAAGCCAGTTGTTCTTGAAGTCCACACTACCCCACCCGGACAACATCATCAGCATCATCTGGGCACCTATGAGAAGTACATTCTCGGGGTTACTCCAGACTTACTGACTCAGAAACTCTGGAGCAGGGCCAGCAAAAGTTGCTTTAAAAAGCCCTCCTAGGGCCGGGGATTTAGCTCAGTGGTTCCAGCATCTGCCTCGCAAGCACAAGGACCTGAGTTCAATCCCCGGTACAAAAAAAAATCAAAAAGCCCTCCTGGTGATGCTGATGCATATGTCATACCCTAACCACTGCTCCCAGGCTACTCTGCAATTTGAAGAAAGAGGGGTAAAAATGACACGAGCCGCATGGCTCCCCTGCTTCTCTCCCCCTTTCCTTCTTGTGGACAAGCACCTGGGAGCACCCTCAGAAACAAGGAGACACTCAAAAGCCCTGAGTCAAAGTGATCCCTTCATCCTCCACCCGGGGCCCAAGATTGGAGCTGTCAGACAGCACAGATTTGCTGGGGCAAGAGGCTTCGATGCCAGTGGCTACAAAAACCTACATGGTTTTTTCTGTTGTTTTGTTTTGTTTTTCAAAGACCTACATGTTAAGTGCAGCTTTGGAGGCAGGTGTGGTGACTCACGCCTGTAATCCCAGCATTGAGGAGGCTGAAACAGGAGTTCAAGGGCAGCCTGGGCTACATAGTGAGTTCAACACCAGCCTGAACGGCAAATAAGACAAGCGAATAAACAAAATGCAAAATAACAGATTGCGATGGGAGTAAGGGGTGACCAACACAGCAAAGATTTAATCGAGGAAACTTGCTTCACGGAGGGCGGGAAGGCCTGAGGAGGCCTGACATTCACGCGGAGGGTTAATGAAAGAGCCAAGGAGGACAAAGTGAAAGAATACGGGTCGGCGGACAGAGCTGCGTGGTGCATTAGAAAAACCCAGAGCCGGAGGACTGGAACGTACGACCTAAATGCTGCTGTTGGTGACATCGTTGCTGCCTGGGGTCACCGAGAAGCGGGTGGCACAAAAGGCCAGCGATCTAGCTGGTGTTAAGAGATCACCCCGAGCGGTCCGGTGTCAGAAATTAAGGGAACAGTCAAAAGTAGAGGAGGGGATACAAGGCCCAGGGAGCGCTGACCAGACGGGCAGCGAGGTCTTGGGGTTACTCCTTACCCGCCTGGGGTAGGAGACCCCCTCGCAGCACCCCAGCCACGGCCGCAGCCATCGCCACCGGAAGAACAGACCCGAGTTGAACGGAGCCGGAAGTAGCTATGGATTGTGGGGGAGGCGGGCAGAGAGACCCGGAAGTAGTAGGCGGATCCGCCAGAAGAAGCCGTATTCCGCATGCGCAGAGTCGGACCCGAGGAGCCCGCCTCCCCCCGACCTGGCGTCCAGTCTCCTAGCAACGACGCGGTTCTCCTGGGAACTTCCCTTTGGTTCCCTCCTGCCCACAACTCCCGTTTGTTGCCAGTTAAGTCCCTCCACACCCATCAAACTCCAGACTCCCATCCCTATTTACTTCTGTCTTCAAACCTATCCCTGACAAGTTAGTGTAAATCAACTCCTTTCCCCTGTCTCCCAGGGTTGAGCTGCTTTTTCCTCGATCGTCCTGGGTTCAGCCACCCCGAAGGGCCGTCAAAATTCTCGTCTATTTTAGATCATGTCTGGAGGTGAGCAGGGTGATGGGTGGTTGGGTATAACAGCACGGTAGAGTGAACAGTAGGTTCAACCGTAGGGTCGGGCTTCCAAGATCGAAGAAATGACAACTAGAATCACCCTTTCACAGATAAGCCTGCGCAGAGCCCAGAGGAAGGTGTCTGCATCACTGAAACCCTGATCACTAAGCGCAACCTGACTTTCCCCGAGGATGAGGACCTGTCAGAGAGGATGTGAGTGGGGAGGGGAAGGGGGGTGACCATTTCCCCAAGCTGAACAATTCATCCAGTCATCGCTGTGTCTCTCTTGACTTACTCCACTCTCCAGTGAGTGGTAATGCCAGCTGATTTCCCCTCCTTAAAAATCATTCTGAAGCCGGGTATGGTGGCGCATGCCTGTATTCCCAGCCCTTAGGAAGCTGAAGCAGGAAGACTGCTGCAAGTTTGATGCAACCCGACCTACAAAGTGAGTTCAAGGCCAGCTTGAGCTATAGAGTGAAACCTTGTCTCCAAAAATATAAGAAAAAAGGGCTAGGGATTATTTAGCTCAGTGGTGCCGCCACCTGCCTCACAAGCGCAAGGTCCCAAGTTCCATCCCTAGTACCAAAAAAAAAAAAAGAAAGTTTGAGAAGGATTGGGCTAACACATACATGTAACATTCATTCTGCTTGTAATGCGTCTTCCCTGTCCCCATCCCATCTTTGTAGCTAACTCGTGTTCATCTGTCACTTCCTCCTGGAAGCAGTCCTGAGCCTTCTGTGTTGGACCAAATCCCCCATGACTTCATCAGGTCTTTGTACCTGCCTCTGCCATCCACGTGTCAGGGCTGGTTTCTCTCCTAGTGGTGGGCAGGGATCCAGGCACTCTGTCATTTGTAGGTGCTCGATATAAGTGTGTGGCAGGAGCACATGCTGCCCCCCGTGGACACTCAGATGGGAGGTGAGGAAGGGTCTTCCTGTACAAATGGCCTCATCTCTGCCTCCACCATCAAGTTGGCCCAGGGAAGGCTTCTCTCGTCTCTGAATCTCTTCAGGAATCATGTTTCCCGGGGGGCTCTCGCTCCGATCCTGCCCACTGACAAAGATCCTGGTGTCCACAGCAAGCCAGTTCCATGACCAGACACCACTTCATGGGTCCAGAAGCTGTTCTGGACATCTGATCAGTCCAGCCATCTATCCCTCCTTCCTCGCCTCTTACTGCCTTCCCTTTTTCCGGGCTAAGAGGCCAAAGAAGTGAGCTCTGTCACACACCACTGCTGACTCTTGTCCCAGGTTTCACACCCTTGCTGACCTGCAGACTGTGCGCCTGGACCAGGAGCGGATTACCACGATCAGGAACCTAGAGGGCCTGCAGAATATTCACAGCCTCTATCTGCAAGAGGTAACTTTGTGCCCCTCCCCTTCCTTTCCTCTTGCTCCCTACGGACCAAGTCTGACTCATCTAAAAGCAGCCAGGCTGTCATCTCATGCCTTACCTTGAATCTAGACGGGTGCTTAAATCATTCCCAAATGAATCACACACCATGTTGCACAGTGTGATCCCAGCACTCTGGGAGGCTGAGGCAGGAGGGTTAGAAGTTCAACCCAGCCTGGACAGTTTAGCAACTCAGTGAGATCTTGTCTCAAAATAAACACAGAAAGGGGTGGGGATACAGTTTAGTTCAAAGGCCCTGAGTTTAATCTCCAGTACTGAAAGAAAAAAAGTGACTCTGATAATGTTCTTTATTTTGTTTATTTATTTGTTTTTGAAAATGTTCTTTAGTTGCACACTTCTCCTGGTGTAGAAATTCTTGGTGTCTACCCTAACCCTTGCATGTTTCACAGCTCAAGCACATTTTCTCTTTTAAAGAAGAGGAAAAAAATTAAACAATAAAGAAGAGGAAGAGGATTCTATAAAGATTCCTCTACACCTTTTGGATCCTTTAAGGTCATTTGGTGGTGGCGGCTGGGTGACCTTCCGCCTTCCCTGGTTCCCTTAGACTTTCCCACATAATTTGTTTGTTTGTTTTCAGACAGGCTCTCACTATGTAGTTCAGGCTGGCCTTGAATTCACTATGGATCCCAGGTTGGCCTCAAACTCATGGTGATCCTCCTGCCTCAGCCTCCTGAGTGCTGGGATACGGGCCTACATTACCACATCTGGCTCCTACAGAAATTTTACAGATCAAATGAATGTATGCTCATTATTCCTTCTGGATATGACAGCCTCCCAGCAGCCCTTGGTTTTTTTTTTCCTCTGATTTCCAGGTCCCTCTTTGGTTGTAGGGTCAGGAAAGTAGACTTTAATCCAGTTTAGCCAGGCCTGAGTTTATACCTTTATCTACCCACCTGGAGGAAGCCAGTGGTCTGGTTGCTCCAGCCAGGGGTGAGTGGTCACCCCCACAGTGTACCACCTTCTATGGCCTTGGGGCTTTGTCCCCTGCAGGGCCCCCACCAGCTGACCTCAGCCTGGTTTCTTCTTGTAGAACAAGATCCAGCGGATCGAGAACCTGGCTTGCATTCCCTCCTTGCGGTAGGTGGGATCGGGCTTCTGGCAGGAAGGAGGCAGGAGGGACACAGGCAACTGGCAAAATGCTGCCCCAGAGAGCTGGCTCCAAGCAGTCCAAGCCTGGCTCTCCGTCAGCCTCAGACCCCAATCAGTGCCCTCGCTGGTCACCCAGGTTCTGGTGTCCTCCTCCCTCCTCACAGCCATCCTGTGTTCATTGTCCAACTCTGTCTCTGTCCCCTTCCCTCCCCTGCAGCTTCCTGTCCCTGGCAGGAAACCGCATCAGGCAGGTGGAAAACCTCCTCGCCCTCCCACACCTCCAGTTTCTGGACCTCTCTGGGAACCTGATAGATTCGCTAATGCTGGGTAGGAGCGAGCCTGTTGGGGGGCACTCGGCCTGTCTCCCTGTGCTGGTGTTTGCTGCACCCCACACATGCTCCCTTCACACCAAGGGTCCCAAGAGCACCCCTCTTCTGTGTGCAGGTGAGCTACCCCAGAGCCTTCTCATCCTCAACCTCACTGGAAACAAATGCACCACCCGGAAGGGCTACAGGTGAGGAGGGACTGTGTGCGGGGCAAGAGGCCCTGGCCAAGGCCAGGCGTGGTGGTTCACGGCTATCATCCCAGCACTCGGGAGGATGAGGCAGGAGGATGTCTGTGAATTTGAGGCCAGCCTGGGCTACATAGTGAGTTCGGGAGTAGCCTAGACTACATAGGAAGACCCTGTCGCACAAAAAATACAAGAAGGTGCTGGGCAGCTCCCTGAGCCTGCAAACCCAGCACTGTCTATGGCCCTGTCTCTTCCCCGCCTGTGGATCAGGCTGCCCTCCCCATCCCAGCCCCCACGCGCCACGCAGCCAGCCTGGGCTCTCTCACTCCCAGTCGGGAGCTGCCACCCCTCCAGCTGCAGTGCTATGGCCGGGGTCACTGTGTCCTCCAGGGTCCATGCTGGCTCCTCCTCCCGGGCAGCCTCTGCTCTTTCTGCCCACAGGGAAATGGTCACCGCGGCGCTGCCCCTGCTCCTGGACCTGGACAGGCAGCCTGTGGCCGAGCGCTGGACCTCAGAGGACGAGGACCAGGCCTCAGGGGACGAGGATGAGTTCCCAGAGCTGAGTGGCCCCTTCTGCTCAGAGCGAGGTGCCCCGGCTTTCCAGGGCTGTGGCCTCCCCTGAGCCACCCTGCTCTGCGGGGCCTGGGGATGAGGGCACTGGGGTCCAGAGAGCAGCCGCAAGCGCAGGCGGCATGGTGGGGGTACAGGCGGTGGGCAGGTGGTGGCCTGGGCAGCCAGGGACCGAGCCCCCCCAG